GATCTCCTTCATTCTGTTCTCTTCACCTTCACTCATTACAAAAGGTTCTAGGCCGTGCTTATGAATTGTCTGCTTTCCTCTGAAGAGCGCACAAGATTTTTGAAATATTCACCTGTTCAAACCCATAGATAAGAGAATGAAGACCAGAGTTTGCAGAATGTTCGTCTCGAGTTCCACTCGGAAAATTTCCCATGAGCAAACTAATAAAATATTTGAAACATTTTTTTTAAACTTCTTGAATTGCCAATTGGAAGACCATGCGGTTGAGAAATTCTTACATGACGCTGAATAATTTTTTGGAAGAGCTTCGAATGAATGGAATTCTTAGGTGGATGAGAGGATGGAGAAATTTGTGAAAGTTCCACTCTCAGGCGCTCTATTTCCGATATACCGAGTGCCGATATGAGGTCGGGGCTTAGGAATGAGTCTCTAATTTTTACAGATCAGAGGAGTGGATGGGAAGTTTGCATGGAACTTCCCGAAGCATTTGAATTCGTTTCACCTATAAAATCATTTCGCAGACTGGTTTTGAAAGGTTAACTAATTTCTCATTTTATTCAAGAGTGAAATTGCTACAATCTTCATTACCCACCGAATACTTTCGGTGTGTTTGATTGCCTTGCGACTGTAACTATGAAGAGGTCGCGNGCTAACGACGTACCCATAGGAACTTTGCCAGAACGAGTAATTCGGTTCGAAGATGAGATTTGCTAGATTTTCTGTGCACCTTGACGTCGTTCAACGAATTCAGTCAAAATATACAATTCATGTGTGGGGAAGACGGAAAGTAGATTAGTTACGGAGAAACAAAGAAGTACGGATGAGCATTTTACGCTTTTTCGAACTATCAGGGTGCTTCATTTACGCTGAGGATGGATATTGATGGGAACAAGTGATGTGTTGTGATTCAGGGGGTTTCTCAATCTTGTTGGGGCAAAGAGGACTATGGAAACTTAGCAACAAGTGGTAATTGCACCTCTGCTTTCGAATCACCGTCCATGGCCGATGGTCAATTCATTAATTCACCTCTACTAGTCTGATTTATGTAGGGCTGCAGTCTCAAGGAGGAATAACTACCAGTTATCGCAATGAACTTCATTTTTTCTCTGCTCAGTATTTTTTTGCTTCAACAGATGTCAACCTGGACTTAAAGTGTCACAACAATTTTTTGGTTTCCCAGCTAGGCCGTGCAAAGGCTCGACAGCAAGTAATGTTCGTTATAGCGACTCAATTTGTATAGTTGGCTCGAATGATGAACCTTTCTAACAGTTTTTGGCTTTCGTTTGAGTAGGTGACAGCAGCACTCAGAAAGGAATCGTTGGCTGAACAAACAGCTACACTTTATTGTGAACAAGCTTACAGGTCTATGATGTAGAAAATCGTGTTTCTAAGTGCTGTCGAATGACGTTCAACCTAACGTGATAAGTGCTTGCTCACTGTTTATTCAACGAATTGATAATAGGCTTTCGAACTACGCCATTAGTTGTTTTCGAGTGAATGATATTCTAATCAGGTGATTTTACAAGTAGCACAGATTTGTCTGCTAACGCTGCGGTCAGCATGTAATATGCGACTAGCTGACCGAGATTTGTATATAGTAAAAGGCGCAGTTCACAATATATTGGAATCTCTAGCTTGAGACGAGTTATGGAAATGGTAGTCCAAAATGGTGCAAGAGTGGCAAAGGAAATGCGAGAAATATCCAGAGAAACATGAAGCTTCAAAGAAGTAGTGAAAGGAGGAATTGGACGAGAATGTGAGGACAAGAGACAAGGGGTATTTGGACGAGCTGTTCGAATGTGAGCTCAATTGCCATTAGCTGACTACGGCAATGTGCTTGCGTGCAACGTGTGGATCCCGGTTTAAATGAATAGCATCTACAGCTCCTACAATGCCATGAGAACTCGTCCGCTTTGGGTGTGTACGTCGCTTAAGCCGGTTTTGGGGCCTTTATTACGCCTTGGCTCAGCCTTTTTTCGATCTTACAGCGCCCCTTGTGCTACCTTTGAGAGTCCCAGGTTCATCTCAGGGAGGAATCTCAGAATCCATTTTTATAGCGAACTNTTTGTTGATTGAAATTTCTCATTCCAAACAAACTCGATTCAGTGATACAGCGCTAAATGGATTCGCTTCCGAATTCAGCTGGTGAGTGCTCTGTGTGCGGGTCAGAAGGAGCTAAAATACACTATAGAGGGATGGTGTGCGGGTGGGTTTTCTTTCTCTTCTAGTATGACATCTCGCTAGATGGAGTACACATAGTATTTATTACAAATGTTTGTTGTTTCATTCGTCTGAGTGAATCAACTTTATTTCGTTGGAGCGATTTGAATTTTGTAGTCCTCAACAAATGAAACATCGGCTCGTCCTAGGTGGCTATCCCGTTCGACATTGATCTTCTATAAAAGTTATATATTTGGATGTGTGTGTGCTTCATGTGTTACATCATCTGTGTTACCTGTATCACCTGTCGTCCCGTTGATCATGGCAGACGTTTGCTCGAAGGAATCGAGCAGACGTTGTTGAGGCCAGCCCGATTCCTTCAAGCAAGCATCACTAAGTTTTCCTTTCGTTCCTGTCGTGAGCCAGAGTAGTTCCTCTTTACTTGAGGTGAGCTAGAGTGGATCGTTTTTGCGTGGAGGACGCAAGGCACAACATTCCTTCCGTTCAGAGCTTTCATGAAGAAGTCTGACCATCGCACTGGCGGACTTCCTGGCGTTTTTTTGACGTTCCGAGGCATCCAGTCAGAAGCCGTTACAACGGTTGTCACGACATCGCATTAGGTGTCCGGCACACCTGATCTTAAATTTCTCGGCGTAAGCAACAGCATCTCTGATCTTCGTTCGTTAAAAGATCTCATAATTCCGGAATCCCTCCCGCACTTCAGTGTATAGGGAAATGCAGAGCATCGCCCTTAGAAAGTGCGTTGAGCAACACTGACAGCATGCTCAATCTGATTTCGAAGAATCCTAGTCTCCGAGGCGTGCGTCAAAACAGGAAGGACAGCAGTGTCGGAAAGGTGAGCGTGGAGTCGGATGTTCTTTGCCCACTTCAACACTCCCTCGATGTTCCTAAATGCTCCCCACGCCGCGCGTTCCCTTGTGCTCAGCTCCGGAACTTGGTCGTTCATCACGTTGACTTCTCCACTTAGATACACCTGGCCAGAGCACCCAAAGATATTTGTCCCGTTTAGCTTAAAGGGACCATCAAGTACCAATCCGTTTTTCATGAACATCGTCATCGTTAAGTTCAGTCTCAAGCCAATCTTTCCACCCACAAGACCTGTCAAACTTAGCCAGCATTTGTTCCGCCTGCTCCATGTGCAGTGTTATAAGCACGATGTCGTCTGCAGAGGTGATGTAAGCAGTGGCCGTCAGCCTTCACTTCACAGTGTAGTTCTTGAGAGCGGCAAGAAAAGATCGGGCAATGATATCGCCCTGTCGAACCCCTCAGCTCACGTTGCTAAATACTCTCTTATAGATTGGCGAGATCTTAGTCATAAAGTTGTCGTATAGCACAAAAGCACACTTACTTGTTGAGAGGAACACTTTGGTTACCCAGGGCTTATACCGCTTCTGTCTCGACATTATCAAAGACCTTTTCCAAATCGATGAATGTCGAATATAACGGCATCGTGCGCCCTCGCGAAAAATCAGTAAGTCTTGTAACAGTGTGGATGTGATCGATTGTGCTGAACACTCTTCGAAACCCTGCTTGCTCGCATGGCTGTCATTCAACAACATATAGTATTCTGTCAATATTGTTGAGGATGGCGCGTGTGAAAAGTTTGTACAGACAGCAGGCAGACTGCGTAATGATCGCCAATACCATCGGGATAACTATTCTTATTCAGCAAGACAGACTGCTAGTTTCCTTCTGAATCGTGCGCTCTTGGTTAACAGTTACCGTGGTAAGAGCCAATCCAGTTCTTTGACGACAGCTGATGGAAGACTCTTTAGATGTTACAGCGCAAGATTTCAAATATCGTAGAAACTTACATAGTCTCGTGCATGACCTTGCAGAATGTGCCGAAGTTGTGAAAGCCGGCAACGATGCGTGTACTAGTTGGACATAGAGCAGGGTGATGGTCGGTCCTCGACAGATGCGACAAGATTTCTCGTTGTGACAAAGTGATCGAAAATGCTTGCGAAGACAACGAAAGCAACGTTTTTGTTGAGCTGCCTTAAGATAACGAGATGACAACTCTGTAACCGTTTTACAGCTAGAAAAATAATGCTGTTCCGAGCAGAAATAGCAATTAGGTATGTCCTGCTATTGAGACATTACTGCGAACCTTGTGCCGATGTGGATGGTCCTGGCAATTCTAGAGAAAACGTCCGACCTGATTTACGACGGGATAGAAACGTTGGAACAGAGAAGTCCGGTTTGCGTACACGAGATTCTTGGGTGGAATAAGACCATCGATCTGAATCATCAGCATGCGTGAATTTACGATTAGTAGCCAATGATGATGGCTAACCTGGCTGAGCTGCTTCTATGGCCAATGGTGATGGCAAGGTAGATGGACTGGGATCGACTTGATCAGATGTGACAAGGTATCTACTTTAGGCGACGTAACTGTAGAGATTGAGTGAGTGGAAACCATAGGAGTGAGTGGTATTGTTGAGCGGTAGAGGAAGCGAGAATGTGCATGAAGCAAGAAAGTGTTACCGAGTGCCGCGAGAGGAGAGCCGTGAATTCACGTTGATCCTCGATAGGATTGAGTATGCGAGGTAAAATGAGAGCAGAGAGCGCGTTGCGACGGGACTGTGCATTATAAATGAGTTCGACTAATTGTTGGGGTTTTTACAGTAGATGATTGAGTGACTGGAACCAATCTGGATTATTAGGCAAGTCTTCAATAAAAAGTCCAAATTTGTCAACCGATGAACCTAGCGCTTTACAATTGTTAACGATGAAACAGGGGAAATAATCCCAACCGATGGATAATCCTGAGCTTCTTGAAAAGGAAGTGTGGTCTCGTTCACGAAGTGTTCTCGAAGTCATGCGAAAAATGAGCACTGTAGGAATGCATCGATGAGGTAGAGATCACGATTAGCAAGATGTTCCAAGCGAGATGTAGTGTCGAAATTGATGGCGAGTGTGAAAGCTTGAGCGATGCGAAGCGGTACGCGATCATGTGTGGTGAGAGCGATATCTTGAGGAGCGATCATCTTCAAGGACGGGAATAACCTCATTTGTATAGTGACCACGAGAATAGCGTTCAATAAGTTCAGATGTGGTAGCCGCACGTGTAGAGCGAGTTGGTTCAGATGGATTACCTGGCCGAAGCGAATGAACAAGCGGACGATAAACGGGCGTATACATAGGCGAAGAGAGTGACGAAGCATCATCCGAAATAGAAAACTCGATAATAGTTCCCGAAGTAGTAAGCGAAGCTGGATTAGAACGAAACTGACTGGGCAACTGATGGCGCTGATCCGAAGTTGTTGCCTGAGTCGAACTAGGTGTCGAAGAGGAAACAGTCGATGTTGGGCGAAGCATGGCAAGTGAACACAGAAAAAGAATCTGAAATAAAACTTTAAGTTGTCGTATATAGAGTCACCGAATGATTGTAACGAGAGGGTAGTGAAAAATGAGACATTGTTGAGAGATAGTATAGGAAAATGTGGATGAAAGGAGAATAGGTAGTATAGTTGAATAGAGAATGGAAACAATAGAGGATAAAAATCTGAGTAAGAAGGTTGCTAGAAATGAAGGCATAGATGGAGGAAAATAACTGGCACATTCAGGAAAAAGAGTTGCTGCAATGAGAGATCAGTGTATCAATGAGATAGGAGATGAATAGTAGGTGAAAGAATAAGAAGTGCAATATAAAATATGAGTGATAGAATGATAGGAGTAAGTGTAGGATTGATGTTGAACGAAAGTGGAGAAATTGTAAAGATTGAGGTATAGGTAAAAAGTAGAATAACTACGTGTAAGTAAATAAGAAATAAGGAATAGTCATGGATTAATAAAAATGGTACAGAACGAGGAATAAGAATTAGAATTGTTGCGTACGCATGATGGCTATGCGGTCGTAGAATGGGTATGCGAAACGATTATGAACGATAAGGTGATGAAGATTAACAAATTTATGAAGTAAGGCGAGCGGATGAATGGTTAGTAAGCAGTAGCGTAAAGATGTTAAATGAATGAAGCGATAATTCGGCATAGTGATAATGTACCGAAGACGAAATGAAGGACGGATATGGCATAGCAAGCATGATGAAACACTAGGAGGAGCGTGTTCTAGAACAGTACTACGGGTTACTTCATGGTGATAGAGTGGAGGTGCTTTAGTAAGGAGTGGAGTGTATAGAGAAATAGACAAGTGTGTAAGGATAGAACCTGAAGATATTAGAAGTAAAAGAATAGTAAGGATGGGAAATAGACAAAGGTGGAGAAGTGAATGAGATTGAACAAGAGTAAGGATAAGATATAGTGAGTAATGGGAAGAGAGAGTGGCTCAGATTGTCATAATGATTAGGTGTTTTCTGATTTACTGCGCCTTCTGACCGCCCTAGATGGTTGTATTCGAGTAGGTGTCAAAGGAATCGATACCTGAGAGGATCTTCGGCGGTAACGATCTCCAAAGGATGGAAATGATTGATTGACCTCTGTAACTCATTACCATTAGCAGTCCGTAAGGTGACACTTGTGATCTGTTGCGCACGGTCATTCGCCAAACGGGTGATGAGATTGAGGCGAATTTCCACGAGGAATGGATTTGTCGCCGATTAGGTCGACTTCTCCAATTTGTGGTGTGCATGGTGTGGACTTACCTTGAGCGATTCGTTTAGCATGTCGTTATGAAATAGCTGAAAGATAGTCTGTGAACCAAGTGGTCCAAAAACGATCCAAAACTGCCATAGTCTCTTTATACCAATCGAGCAAGAATTTGTTGGAAGGTTCCCATTACGTTGACGTGATGTCTAACCTTGGCAATTGAAATTCTAGTCTGGTCTTAAAATTGATGGCGAACTAAGGGTGTCTGGTAGCGCTGTTAGTGGCCTTGAATTAAGGGTAGCTTCTATTTCCGCAATGAACGTCGAAAATTGCAGCAATGGAAGAAGTAATGAACTAATTGACTAATCAATCGGATGGAAGACTTCACAAGTCCGGCAAGTGATTCATAGAAGCATCCTTCCCATGATGAAAGGAGTGTGATGAACTTCCATCGAATACGACGGCTTGTAAGATAGGAAGAAACCCGGGTGAACGACGATTGTGCATAAATGGCTTTCTGCAACGTGTTGTCTGCTGAACGAAACGTGGTAGCATTATCGTTTAGGATAAGTGATGGAGTGCCTCTAGATGGCTACGAAACGGCAGAAGGCTAACAGAAATTCTTCAGTAGTAGTGTTGAGTACAAGTTCGAGATGGATTGTTCCTGTAGCCATACATGTAAATGGACAAACCCATATCCTAGCGAACGATTACCATTCTTTTCGCACAGAAGTTGTACGTTTCTTTGAACGGTGCGAATGAAGAAAATTCTGCAGCTCCTAAAATAGATTAATGATGGGTAAACAACTTTACAGACCGAGCTGCCAAAGACTCAGGCAAAGTCACCTAAGGTTGGCGAGCTATGGACAAAACTTCGCCCTCAGACAGGACCCGAACCCGGACTTATGCAATCCAGGCACCTTGCTCTTACCCCTTACACCACTGAGACCCCGCTAGCCCTCGCCTTCTTAAGGGCTTATATGCCACCAGTCGGCTCACACGGCCAACGCCGGTCTTCCCTAATTTTTTGACAGAGCTATAGTAATCGGCTAACTCTCTACTCTTGCTTTGAAATAGACAACATTTTCCTGTACACGAAAATTCACAGAGTACTAACAGGGCAGTGCCAATGGTATTCAGTGTGAGTCGGTGCTTACGCCCTCCATTGGAAGCCGCGATTTTGCTATCTTTCTTAAAAGACAATACTCTATTAAGATTCAAAGCGGTACTCACAAATGTCTCGAGTGATGATAACACCATTATCAGATGTATCAGTGGACCCTTTTCTTCACGAAGATATCAATAGTTGAAAATTCCAGATTACTGGTGGTCGGCTGCGTTTTGCCTATCTCCCATATTTATAAAGCAGTAGCTTGATCTGTCAGTTTGTCGGCTTGTGTGTTTTTCGGTGTGTCGGTTTGTCGATTTGCTGGTCTGTCCGTCCGCAAAACTTTATGATTACAATTAAGGTAGTGTTATGGAAAACCGAGCTCTTACATTTCCTTCTTATATATAATGCAGTAAATTGGTGGGTAGGGTAACGGAGTAGAACGATTGCTGAGCAATGTAGTGAGAAATGTGGAGTCAGAAGCGTGCTTCAAGACTGTGATTTCGATCTGTANATCAATCCCGTTTGAGGGATGCGCCCCCGCACTCGACTCCCATTCAGAATCGTAGTGGCGTAGTGAGTGCGTACGTATCCTATACAAATGACTTGCGGTGGCCAGCCGATGTACAAGTGGGCGCTTTTATCCTCCCAAACGAGTCTGGTACCAATTTACCGGTGCCGACTTCGAACCCCTGACCGTGCGTGTGAGGGGTGAGACGACGACGTTGAACCACCATAATATAAACTATTCATTTCTACCCCTAGCGTTGACGTCGGCTTCCTGTCCTTCTCCGCATCGAAGTCTTCATTGTTGTATAAAAGCAAGCCCCCTCCCCTCCTCCGTAGCTACATCATTTTCTAACTATTCTTCAAAGGGAGGAATGAGACCTGGCGTAAGCCTGCCGATCCGTGTGATATTGAATAAAGAAGATTCTTTATGGAGTTACAAACTTTGCTGGATAGCGGTCGTAAACTAATAGCAAAAAATGAACAAAATTCTCATCGGTTGAAGGTGTGTGGTATAGCCTCAGCCAAGATGGTACAGCTCTT